GCTAAAGCCTTTAAATTGCCCTAACACACAGAACTTTACAGTGTCATCCATTCGGGTGTTTAGTTGTGAGAAAAAGGCGTGCTCTCAAATTTATGCACCTTAACTTTGTACGGCAAAGTTTTTAGGCTCAAGGTAGGCCCCCCAGCCCGCATCGCCCTTTAACTTGCAGGAGTCCTTTTAAGTTTTAGCTTTTGGCCAAGATAAGGCGCGTGGAAGTTTGGCATTCATTGCGAAATTAATTAAATGAGCGCATATCTGGCATGGTGTCTCGACTCGAGTTGACTTCACATCGCCTCGGCGATTGGTCCAGAATGGACACAAAGCCGGCAATTTAATTGCGGCAGCCAATAATAATTGGCCAAAGCGGATTTGGCTGCACACGACAAACATAAACCGCTCTCCAGGTGCAGGATCTTAAGTCTTCGGTAAGTACTGCTTGTGCACACTGTAAACATTTCGCAGAGATATTTCTTTCTACACCCTGTAACTATTGAGCCAGCCGGGCTGTTCGTTTCCCTAGGGGAGCAGACTTTAATAAGCAACAATAAACTCTTATTTTATGCCCCGCTACACGTGATAGAGGGAGTCATGGCTAGTATCTAGTGCCTGGCAACTTTATACGAACAAAAATAGTAGATATGTGCTGGCTGCAGGGTATCTCATAGTTGACCACACACGCCTTTAGACAAACTAGTTTTTTATTGCCTTTTGTTTTTTTTTTCATGGCTTTTCCCAAATAACTTATCGAAAGTTATGGCCAGACGGACTTAAAGAGTCGCTAATGCCAGTTAGTTTCTTCCCTTTTCGTTCAACTTGAATGTCCTTTACCCCGAGATCCTGTCGCTGCCAACTGATTTTCCTTTGTGTGCCGAGTCTGGCGTATTACTTTAAGCGGCTTAAATTCTTTGTATGCGTGTGTGTGTGCGCTTCATGCTGGGCTCTGTTATTGAACAACTAAAGCATTGATACGATTTAATCAAAATTGAACAGGACTTATAAATTGATAATTGTTTCAGCAGACAGCAGACAGAGGTAAACAACTATCGATATTATTAGCGATAGTGCTTGCAGTTGAAGCGATATATGCTTAAAAACTATCGATCGAAACAGACGCAAGTGAGATTACGATTGGAAGTTCATTCGGTCAGCTAGGAGACACATTTAGAAATAAATAAAAAAAAAAAACAGCCCTCAGCAACTTAATAGAATTTGACTTAAGCTTGCGCTCAACTTATTCCCAGATAAGATTTAAGATTTATTTAATTTATTATTTGGCCTGAACAAACCCCAACAACTTGCACGTAATGCGAGCAGCAGGCAATACAACAACAACAACCAGGAGCATAACCTGCTGTATAATGTTAGCTCGGCTAGTTCATGGACAGTTTGATTTTCATTACCCAAAACAACGACTTCACATCGATGAACTGCATCAGCAGAGAGGCGACAAGAGCAGCAGCAAACACAAAGCTTAGGACTGGAGACAGTAGCGAGGACACAGCAGAGGACAAAGTGCAGTGATGGGTTATTTTTTGTGTCCAATAAGAGGTTTTCAGTGGGAGGTCTGTCTAGAGAATAGCCCTAGAGCACACACTTGGGCAACTGTGAGTCGAGCTGAGAGCTGGCGCTACAGTTGCGACTCGTCATCATCGGCACCAAACATCAACATCAGCATCCGCATCAGCATCCGCATCAGCATCATTATCATCATCATGGACTGGCTGGAGGCAGGCAACATCATCATCAATGGGTATTCGGTGGCTGGCGAGTTGTTCAGTCGCTTTGGCCAAGAAAGCCAGCGAAGCAAATTGTTTTTAATTAAAAGTAAACAATATCAATTCATTCGACAGTTATCCAGTTATGCTGCTGACAAGGCTGCTGCAGTTCCTGCTCCAGCTTCAGCTTCAGCTGCTGCTCTTCTCTCTGCCCCTCTCTGCCCCTCTCTCACACTATCTCACTCTCCCCATCCCTCTCTGTCTCTAAGCTCGCAGCGGCTGCATTGTTTGTCATGGATTAAGAGAAAAAACACACTGTCTGTGGGCGTGACTGCTCTGAAACTTTGACATGACCTGTCCATTTATATACTTATATATATATATATAAAGTATATATATAAATATCTATACTTAACGGCGTGGCAAACATTTCCATTAATTTTTTTCTGACCATTATTAATTGTCTAAGTTGCAGTTGACGGTCGCGCGTTGCCGTTTAATGTTGCAGCTAACGGTATTATTTTCCCCTTTTCCCGGGCATTTCCACTTGCCATAAAGTTTTCTTTGGCAACTGTTTTTCCTGTTTTAATCAAACTGTAGTTATTTTTTTTTTCGTTCAGCTTGTTTTATTTTGTTGCTTAACTTTGTTGCACTTTTAATTGGTCTGCAAATATCTAAAGTTTGTTTTATGATTTTTATTTTTTATTTCCCTTATTTTTTTGATTTTTTTTTTTTTTTTTGCTGTCTGCGATTTGATGATGCGCTGAAAACTTGCCAGTTTTCGCCAGGGAATGTCTATTAATTTCTGTCTGCCTGGCAAGTATTTTCTCTAATTTTATGAGAATACGAATATATAAAAATATATGGTTGTGAGCTTTTTTATGGAAAACTTTTTTTCATGGGGCTAACTGCAGCATTCCTCGAATTCCTCTTTTTATTATTACCACATCACATAAAAAAAGGATTACAAAAGAGAACAAAAATAATATTGGAATAAGAATGAATTTGTTGTGAGCTGCAAAAGTTTCATTTCATAGAAAATATGCAGCTCATACCCTGACCCAACTTTTATACATACTTTTCTGCATACAGTTTATTGGCAATAAGAGCTCGCTTTTGTTCGAAGCGCTCGTCATTGCCGATATCGTTACAGACAAAACAGTTCAAGCTCCTAACTAATTAATTTCTTAATTGATTGACAGATTGTATCTAATTCGGTTTTATAAATAAATCTTTTAAATTGTTACCGCCCCTTGTCTCCCTGGTCGTTATGTGCTATTCGTTTCAGCATTTATTTATAATTCTATTCAGGACAACTCTTTATTAATAATTTAATAAAAAATGCATAAACATTTATAAGCAAACATGTAAGAGGCTCTAATTGAAAATTCTCCATTAAGGGTTACCCAAAACACTCGACCACCAACACCAAATGCGGATCGCACACAATAAAGAAGCAGAGTATCTGCTAGTCTGGTATGGTCCCTGGCTTTCTATATAAATTTGAAAGGTAATTCTGAGGATTTCAGAAGAATCGGACGATAATTACAAAATATAACTCAAATGCAGATACTCTGCATGGAAAAATAACGGAGTATCCGATAGTCTTTCATGCTCTCTGGCTGTCTTAATAAATTTTGTTGAAATTTCTCACAGATGCACAACAATCGGACGATAATTACAAAATATAAGCCAAATGCAGATACTCTGCATATAAAAATAGCAGGGTATCTGCTAGTCTTGCATGCTCACTGGCTTTCTATATAAATTTGAAAGGTAATTCTAAGGATTTCAGAAGAATCGGACGATAATTACAAAATATAACTCAAATGCAGATACTCTGCATGGAAAAATAACGGAGTATCCGATAGTCTTTCATGCTCTCTGGCTGTCTTAATAAATTTTGTTGAAATTTCTCACAGATGCACAACAATCGGACGATAATTACAAAATATAACTCAAATGCAGATACTCTGCATAGAAAAATAGCAGGGTATCTGCTAGTCTTGCATGCTCACTGGCTTTCTAGATAAATTTAAAAGGTAATTCTGAGGATTTCAGAAGATTCGGACGATAATTACAAATTATAACGCAAATGCAGATGCTCTGCATAGAAAAATAACAGGGTATCTGCTAGTCTTGCATGCTCACTGGCTTTCTAGATAAATTTAAAAGGTATTTCTCACAAATTCACATCTACCCACTTGCTAAAAACACTCTTGCCGAGCCGAGTTATATTACTCTCAAAAAAATGGCACAAAAACCATATACAGCTCTTATAATATTCCACATACGCACCGTATGCAAAAGTACGCATTCTGTGGGCAGTGACTAGAAGGAGGGCTGGTGCGGGGAGGAGCGGGCGAGTGGATGAATTTTCGGGTGCTGCTGTCTCTCTCTCTCTCTCTCGCTCTCTCTATTTTCTCTTTGGGCTGGTCTGCTCTTGTGTTTGTTGAAAGGAAATACATACGTGCGCATTCATTTCATTTCCGTTTTGTGTCGCAATGTGGGCCAGGGACGTGGCGAGGAGGGTGGGCCGGGGTTGGGCGGCTCTCAGGGCGTTGCCATGACTATGTCTCGACTCTAACTGCCTGGGCCCGAGTGTAAGTGTGTGTGTGTGTGTGTCCAACTATTTATTTTTATGACATAATGTAGCTACAGTTGCGATTGCCTCTGCCCCGCTGTCAGTCCCCCTGTAGACCCCCCCTCGGTCTACTTCATGTGAATATTGCCATCTAAATATGTGAAAATTGCTCATTTGAAATGTTACCAGAGCAATACACGGGGTTGGGGCGCTTTCCCGGAGGGGGAGGAATGTCTAGGCAAATTGCCTGTCAAAAATTTTGTAGTCAATTTGTTTTTGTTTCGCCCTATTTTTCCTTTTTTTTTTCTCTTTTCTTTTCGTTTTTGTTGCTCCTTTTGCCCGATGCTTATCGAAAGTGCTTGACGCAATTCTTGTAATAAATACAATACAATATTTTTAAATTTTACGTAAATAAAATTTAAATACAATTTTACATATGCATATATGTTATATATATGCATGACGAGCCTGTGATAAGGACTTTGTATGGGCAATTGTCAGTTGAATGTTTGGGGTTGTGAGAACAAATATCAGAGCTAATTTTTGAAATTGTGATGAAAATGTATATAGAAGATTGCAATAAATAAAAAGTTAATAGTTTACCTCCTTTCTTAAAATAAATCAAGAAAAATTACTTAAAAAAAATAAATAAATTATTCTTGTGGAACTAAATATAATACAGCAAATGTTAAGTTAACAAATTAGAATTATAATAGAATTGTCTTGACATTTATATATTTAATATTGGGAGTGTTAATGAAAAATATTCATACTGTAAAAATCAGAAACGAATAGCTTGACTTTAGTTTTAAAGAATTATCAATAATATTTAGTTTGTGATTTATGAAAATTCTACTTCAGATGGAATTATAGGATGATAAGTCCAATTTTGAACTGCATGTCAAATTTACAGCTTAGTTAAGTTTTTCGAATGCATTTGCCTATCGAAGTATTCAGTTGTAAAGGTGGGCGTAAAGTAGTTAGGATTCACGTCAAGATCCTTGAGGTTTTTGCGCAACCATTTCTGCAATTGAAACACATTCGCATAGACGCCAGGCACATCTTCCGTGTGACAGCCCAAGCCCCAGGCCACAATGCCCAGCTGGAAGTATTGATTCGGGTGATCGAGCAGCGGACAGAAGAGCGGCGAGCCGCCATCTCCGGTGCACGCATCCAGGCCCCGCTCCCCGCCGGCGCAAATGAAGCTCTCGTGCAGCTCAAAGTATCTGCCCAGACGCGTTGAGCGCAGCCTCTGCTGGCACTCGGTACGGTTCACAATGGGCAGATCCACTTTTCGCAGCACATTGCGCATACTTGCAACCTGCTCAAAGCTGGGCTTGCCCCAGCCCGCCACGAAGCAGCGTTCGAAGTTCAGAAACTCAAGCGAACGCGGCAGGCACACGGGCATTATGTGATGTGTCAGCTCCAGAGGTGTTCGCAAGATCAACAGCGCAATGTCGTATATGGCTGTGCCAGTGTGGAACTGCTCGTGGCAAATCGTTTCCAGAACCAAGCAGTTCTTATGCCTGAGCGGCTCGATCTCGGAGTGAATGTCCCATTCGCCTGCGCGTGCCACCAGATCCTGGGTGCGGCGCGTGTAGACGATGTGGGCGGCGGTGAGGACCACATTCGGTGCCAGAATCGAACCGCCTCCAATAAACTTTTGCTCTGTGCTGGCATTTAAAAATATGGCCACCACCCAGGGAAATTCGGGAAAATCCGTTTCCTCTTCCCTGCTCTTGACAATTGGTACTGGCTTACCCTCGATGTTGCGCACGCCGCATTCAAATTTGGGATTGGGCGCTGGGACTGGCACTTGCTGTGATTGGTTTCACTTACAAATAGGAACAACAAAAATACTTAAGCTTTTACTTACAATATTTTCCAGCTTGCAGCATACTTGAAGATTATGTGGACAAGTTTCGCTCGCGCGAAAGTCTATTTCGGCCCTGGCGTATATACTAACGGTTTCCTTGACGCAGTACGATCGAAAAATGCATCTGCGCTCAGGGCCACAGGGTGACTCCTGAGCTGCTAAAACGATAACAAATTCACATACATATATGTATATAGTTGTAAATAAGAAGCAATATATATGTATTTGTGTTTGTATGTATGTACGTGTACCCGCATTTTGGTGCGTTTGCAAAAACAAAATAAATATTAAGCACCACACTCTCCACATTTCTGTTTTTAACTCTCGCTCTCGCTCTCGCTCTCTTGTGTTCGAGTTCGCAACTAGCGATAACGCCTTAAAGCTAGCGGCACATGCGTTCGCGAATTCAGCTGAAGGCGGACTGCCGCTCGCTGAAGTGCGTTGTTTGAGTGTAGGCAAGGCATACAGAGACGAAGCCTGCAATGGACTGAGCGTCCATTGAGAGAGTGTGAAGGCAAAGAGCATAAACAAAAGTGGGAAGAGCACAACTAGGCTGGGCAAGCCAAAGCTCAGCCCAGCTCTTCGTGCCATATTGCAAGTGCTTTGCTTCTGTCGCCGCACTTAAATAGCAAGTATAAAGTTGCACTCCTTTTAATTGACATTTGATTGACGCGAATTCAAGCAAATAGTGTATAGCAATCGCCTATACATTTGTTTATTTATTTGTGTGATTAATAACAAATATTTTCTACTTGCTAGTATACGGCTCCAAGTATTTCGCTTTCTTTCTTGTTGTTGACTAACATAAACAAAGCTGAAAAAAATTATGGTTAATGCATCACACAAAATCGAAGATGCGATCGCGAAGAGAGCTAAGAGCAAGCTGCTACAATGCCGGCAGGTGTAAGGTGTATATGTATGTGTGTGTGTATGTGTCCAATGCATAGAGCTTAGAGAGCTAAGAGTTGATACGGCATGCGTATATGCATGTACATATGTATATACTATCAAAATGTTAATTGCAATCCACTTTCTTCGATCTGTGCTTGTGTTTATTGTACTATAAAAGAGGGCAGTAGGACTGAACGGCTGAAATACCTTCTTTTTTTTTTTCAAATAAAATTTTAACAGTTAAGCTTTTGTCATTATTAAAAACAAATATAAATAAAAACAGCTACAAATTTCGGTTATTATTTAGATGATTTTGCTTTGCCTTTAGGGAATTCCATAGAAAATATAAATTATTAAATAACAAAAAGTTGATTGCATAAATGACATACATATATTTTAAAAATATAATTAAAGAAAGAAAGAATAATATAAAATATCTCTTTGAGCTTCTATAAGTTTGAGTCATTGAAGTGTATCCTTTTATATAGCTATGACTAGGCAAGTCCTTAAAGGAACAGAAGATCGAAGATTAGTCATCATTATCCTGTGTGCCGGCGGGTTCAAAGCAACCTCTCCTGGCACTCGCCGTGATTCGGCGGATTAACGTGCTCTCAGAGCTAGTCTGGCCCAGCCTGCGGAAAAACAGTGATGCAGTTGTAGGAGTTCACGATCCTGGGGCACACTGATGGGAATTATCTGGTGGGTAAATGTTGGGGGCTATTTGCCATTGCCCCTATCAAAGTGCTCCTGGCAAATCGTCTCATTTACATGGGTGTCCATATGAGTCTAGGGCTCCTGCAGCCTCTGCATAACCCATTCGCCAACCAATCCGGAGTTCGGCAGTCGCAAACAACGTGGGCAGCTGTGAGCACCACATGGGGCGCCAGTATGGAACCATCTGCGACAAGTCCCCGGGTATGTTTTTTGTATACGAATATAGAGCCAACATCCAGGGCAATACGGCAAAGTATGCCACTCTAAGGAGTACATCAACTAATTGGATCACTTTGCCACATAAATTAACTTTGTGTCAGTTTAAAGCATTTGTAACAGCTACTTGGGTATATATTTAAGAAAGTTATTGGTACTCATTCTCTATTGGTAATCATTCCTGCAACATCTGTGTAGATAATGTGCATAGGGATTTTTTGATCCTCTACATATAATGATTCCCTCGGCATATCAATAGATTCTTTCATTGATTTAATTTCAATTAGAAATGCATTATGCTACCAGATCTGCAGCTTAATCATCCTGAGAACAGAATAGAAAAATATAAATTAGTACTGTACCCATTGCACAAGCATAAAGGGTATATTGTTTTTTTGTGTGTCCATGTGCGGAGGTTGGGTTACTTTGAGTATATAAATATATTCGAAATCAGCCAATTGAGTCATGAACGTTCGTCAATACATAGTCGTATTATGCTCAGGAAGAAGACTCAGAGAACAGGGTATCTCATAGGGTATACATTTCGGAGCTTTTCTTTATATTATGTATGTACCAGCATTTCCATAAGCTGTTGAGCTAATCACTAAATTATTAAATAATAAAATTCTATACGTGCCTGAGCTGTACATACATATGTTATTATCTGCGAATTATGGCAATTTTATTCATTATTGACGTCTGATTAGAATTTGTTGCCGTCTGAGCTGAATTTTGAGCAAGAAATAATATTTATATTATATTATAAATTCATACTAAATTGCTCTCAGCTTAAATTGCTTGTAAACAAAGCCTAGGGTATCCTAAAATCCCTTTATATATGTGAATTTTTGCGCAGTTTCCTATAGTTTGCAGCCCAGGAAACTTTTGCCTCTATTTATATGCCACAACTTTATACGCATTAGCACAGCTCTGGAAAATAATGCCGCAAAATGTATAGAAAATTTGTTTACATCTGGGAAAAGCAACTAATGAGCGCGTTGCGCAGCAAAAATTATCAATTCAATTGCCAAATGATGATAAATGGGCGCAAATAATGAAAACTTTTAAGCACGGCCTTTAAAGAGCTCGCTCTATGCGACTGCCGGGAAATTGTCCCAGGACAAAGCTGTTGTTAACTTTGCTGCCTATCGCGCTTTTCCATTTTCTATTCTCTACTTCTTTTATGCTCGACAGCAAAACAATCTCTGGCTTTTCAATGCGCTCACAATGGGCATTCTGGACTATGGAATGAAACTTGGGAAATATGTGAAAAAGCGACTATCGATAACTATCGACAGGTTTTTATGAACACATTAACATAATGAAGATAAAACACATAAATACATTCAGTGTAGCACTGCGTGGTATATCGATATCGATATCGCTATATCGATAGTAGGCACAGTCGATAAATTCACTACTTTTAAATTCTGGCTAAAGAAGAAGCCATATTCAAAATCGATTATTTGAACATATATTTGTTATATTGTTATCGATAAAAACGTAGGCACAATCGATGTTTTATGGGTCTATCGAAAAATGAAAAATTATTTAAAATGTTATCGGTTTGTTTTTTTAAATCAAAAGCGTGTCGAATATGTGCCAGCTCTAGCTACAAATAAATCAAGATGTTTCCCAGAGTAAACAGAATTCGTATTGAAATTGAAACATTTCAACATTTAGTTTTTTTGTTTTTCTTTTTGTTTCCTTGTTGTAGTTGTCTATGTAACTGTTTTGCCTGCTTTGTATGCAGCGTCTGCTATCAGTTGTTGGATTTCAAAAGACAAGTGCACTTTTGTGGCTCAACAAGCCCAAAAGTAACACTCGAGCCTCATCCTCGCACCCCTCCTGGGTATTATCATCAGGAGAGCAAAGGCTGTTTAAAAACGAAAAAATATATTCGTATAGGGAATGCCTCGAGTGCATATGAACAACTTGTCGCTGGGCTGACATTATGACAGAGACTCTGATACTTGTGGGTCGCCGGGAACGCCTAGCTGACTTCCTGAACATGGCCAGATGACTTGTATGTGCCTGCTTGTCTGCCTGCCTGGCTGCCTGCTGCAGCGCCTCAATCCATTGTCTAGCAGGCCCGTACACGTTGTCATTGGCATACTCCGCCGAATGGCAACATCAACGTACAACTTGCCGCAGCAGCTGACAGTAGCGAAAGAGAAAGCCAGAGAGAAAGAGAGAGAGAGCGAGGGAGACCGAGGGAGAAAGGCCATGAGGCGCAAAAGATATATATATAGATATGCCGTGGCCTGACCTGTCCAGCCCTTTGGATCAAACCGGCAACGTGCCACTTGTTAACGCACAATGGAGTCTTTTACAACACTGATTGATGCACCAGCACCGACATTGAAAGGACGTTTGCAGCTTTGGGGCAGCTTTTAGATGGGCATCGAATAAGGCCTGTTGTTGCCTCTAGTTCGTATACTCGAAACCTATTTGGCAAATGAGTGGATTCAATTCAACTCTTAATAGTAATGAAAACAAAGAAAGTTACACAATTTTAAGATACTTTCAATGAAATTTAAAGCACTACTTTTTCTATTTAAGGAAATTAATAGGTTGGCTCATCTTCTGCGGTTGGACTACTTCATATAATGGCTGGTAACGAATATAACTTATGTAAAAAATGAAATATACTTTATCTATATGTCTACATATCTATGTGTCTATATATATATATATATATCTTAATCACATAACTCTTTCTGTTGTCATTGCTTATATATTGCAGACTTTGTAAATATTTAAATATTATCCCAGGCTAATCTCTCATATATTTAACTTGCCTCCCAGTTGACGTTAGTTAAGATGTGTTAAATTAATATGAATAAACATTTACTACATACATAATAGGCTGCGTTGCCAATGCGCGTCAATGTTTATTGCTATGTTTTATATTGTTTTTCAACACTGTTTTTATTCAGTTCCAACATTGACACATCCTATTTCATTCACTTTCGCTTTTGACTCTACATAGGCCCCTCTATTCTAGTTGCCCTTCCCTTTCGTGCGACCTTCACAACTAGGCGTCAGTTTACAACACTTTTGGGTCGCACTTTTTGGCAAATGTTTACTAAATATTGACAGAGCTATTATGCAGCTAGTACAAATTAATAGCAATAGCTGGGTAAACAACACTCACACACGTGCACGTGCAAAACGCACATGAAAACACTCACAATCATTCGCACACAGATACACACACAAACATTCACACACACACACACACACACACACACATTCACACATTGGGGGAATGCCTTTCAGTTCTAGCAAAATCTCTTGAATGCTGTTTGCCTGTTTGTACGTGTCTTTGTTGGCAAATTAACACACACACATACACAAATTGACACTCATACACACACACACACACATTTATGGACACATCCATGAGTCCTATATAAACATATACACAGGTAAAGCAAACAAAAACCGTTGCCTACCTTTGCGGGCGGCGTATTTATTTACGCTTTTGAGCGCTTTACAACACGTAGACCGGGAGGCGCCTTCCTGCGGCTGCCCCGCCCATAAAACATATATTTTCTTCTGCCATGGAATTACATACACATTGAGAATTGTACAAAAAAAGGGTATATTGTAGTTGTGCATATGTTTTAAATAGAAACTAGGCATTTGAAGAATGTTTATGCAAAGCTCGGGCAAATAAATTGTAAATAATCTATAGCTTGCCTGCTTGCACCTGAAATCGATTAATATCGGTTTTGAATATATAATTTTCCGAACCATGAGCAGGTCTAATTATCGATAACTTTCTAATTTGCCCATGAAATCAATTCATATCGATAGATCAGCTTTATAACAAACGATAAATATCGATAGGCGTCGATGCTTATGCATTCAATTTTTAAACAAAATACCCCTGGCTTTCCTGTAAATAGTGCACTTTCCACTCTCTGGCCTAAAATTAGTTTATGCTGTCAGCTTTATGCGCTGCACTTTTGCCAACATTTCTCGCTAATTAGACACATTTTTAAGGCAGCTTTAAACTTGGCTGCAATCCTTTCACTTTTCTGCAGAGGTTTTTTTTTTCGTGTGCCTCTTCTATGGCATGGTTAACATAACCTTAAAAAATAATCTGGCACCTGGCAGGCGTCAGTTAATTAAGCGCGTTGAAAAGATGCCCGGCTAATAGAATGGATGTTGCTCGGGTGGCTCAGGCGGAGGGCTGAAGTTAGTTGACGCTGAAATTTTTGCCGCCTGCTAATGAAGTTACCACAAAGTGAAAGGCGTCCAGACTACGTACCAGGCGCTAATTAATTAGCGCATTTTTTTAGTTCATCTATTTTTTTTTTTCTTGCTATCTTTTATTTGTATTTTTCTTTTATCCCATTTCGAGCGCAAGTTTATTTAATGTTGGTCACTGGCTAATGAGCCGAGTGAATGAAAAGTGGGTCAACAGTTTTAGTAGCTCAGATAGCACGAAAGGCATATGGAATATTAATATATATGATAAGCAAGTATTACCCGGCCTTGCCCAGCAAAAGATTTGATCTCTTGCACATATTGCCAAATTTATAATTTAAAAATGAGATGATTAAGTTAATATGACGGAAGCGTCAAAAATGTATCTTAAAAAGATAGAGCGTAAATTGTGTTCTAAATTATTTGTAGACAGCTTGGAGGATCTTAAAAAGGAAACCCAATATTTTTCGGCAAAGCTTTTTCAGCCATTTGTCACGGAAGGAATTTAATAATGAGTTATATTTTTTATAATATATTTCCTTTTATATTTATTTAATATATATTTTTTTTATTATTTACCATTCAGTCAATCGGTAAGTAAATATACTTTTCATTTCATCGAGAGGTGGTTTTATTTTCACATTTAGCATAAACAAACACCAGCTGGCCATTTAATTGTACTAAAGAAGTTTTCCGCAAATATTTTGATTTATCTGCTGGCAAATATGACAAAACTTTTTACCTGTTACCCAAATCAATAGCTGACTCGCAGTGGAATTGTTAATTTATGCATATATTTATTTTATATACAATTTGCATGCAATGTAAATTATTATAAAAGGAAATATATATTTATTAACAAAAAAAAGGCAACATAAAAACATGAGCTAAACAATAAACTTTTGACAGCGACTGTGCGCAGTGTTTTTGGCTTTCCAGGCACACCTGTTACAACAACAACAATTGCACGGAATAATAGAACACCTTGGCGAAAGTTTTTTGTTTTTTTGTGCCGGGTTTTGTAGTTGTTGTTGTGCCTGCAGTTGCTGTTGAGTTTTGTTTGCTTGTCAATGCACAACAGCAGCAGCAGCAGAAGCAGCAACAACAACAAAATATTTAAGGAAGAGGGAGTTCTGGGCTCTGGCGAACTCGAGCAGCTGATAATACTGGCTGGCATTGCATAATGAAATCAAATTGTAAAACAATTTGCATTTTATAAAATAAAGTTTTTGTTTTTCTGCTCAAGTGAGAGAAGAAATTATAGTTGAGCGTTCAGGGGGAAATGCCAGCTGTTGTTGTGTAGTGGGAAAGCGGGCAAGTAAACATGTCCTGCCAAGTTATCAACATTTTCAGTGTACACTCAAAAGAATGTTTGCCCTGTTAGCGAATTACCAAAAATATATACTTTTCAGCAATTTAAAAACAAAAGTATTGTGTAATTAAAAAAAATATTTCTAAGATATAAAAAATATTTTATTTTTAAGAGAACTTATTTACTTTTATTATATAATGTTTTATAAAATTACAAGTATTTCTTTATAATTTTCTTCATGAACGGTCTGATATATTCGTCTAGAAAAAGGTCCAGTCTGATTAAGAAAGCTTTGAATGCACGGCTAAATGAAAACGATTTCATTGTGAATAAGGCTCAAAACATTTTCCAACTCGTTCAAATTTTTAGCGCCGACTTTGTATGGGTCGAGTTTCTGAGCTAAAATTGTTTTACAGAATTTTAAAAACATTGAAAAGTCTAACAAACTTAACCATTTCTCTCCAAATGTTGGCCTGTTTTCTGTTTGTTAACTGTTTTCCATACTTTTCAAGCCTGAATTCTAAATGTCGTCTAGTAAAAACGTGCACACAAATCTAAAAAAAGAGACTTGAAGCTCCGTCAGATCATTTGAACTATGAACAGCGTTCCATATTTATTCTCAGTTCGATCGAGAATTTTCAAACTAAATTTACAAATAAACCAAAAATTTCTAGTTTATTTTCATCGTTACTTAAATATTTCTGATTAAAAAAGATTCCTAAAACTGAAGTTCACAATTTCTAAAATGAAAGTTTTTGAAAATCAGTAAATTCTTGGCATGCCTGGGCAACAACTAAAAGTTAACCTTGAAGAGCGCAGCACAAAGGAACACTTAACAACACACACCAACACAGACTCACGTACACACACATGCAATTATGGGCAAGACACGCAACACAATGAAGCTAAGCTTTAAGCTGAAATCTTGATAACAAAGTAAATAATACAAATTCTCGCCATTTTTCTGTAATTAACACATCCCCCAACAAAACAGCTTGCAAGAGGCAGACACACACACACACACACACACACACACACACACACACACACACACATACACACACATACACAGACAGAAAGGCACTTGAGCGTGTATTAGTGTTGAGTGAAAGCCTGACAGAATTGCGTGCTGCAGGCATGAAACGAGAAGCCTGTTTGGGAGCTGCCTGTGGAGGGTTGCCAGCAGCGCTCGCATTTACAGCTCATACACAAAAGTGTTGTCAGCTCGCATTTTTATGAGGTGTGTGAACGCGAGCGCCTGTGTGTGTGTGAGAGAACATGCAACCTGTGTTTGTTTATGAGCTCATGTCAAGTTTAAGTGGCGTCTCTCAGCGGCGCTTGTCTCCCTGTCGCTCTCTACACCCTCAAATGGCAAATTGGCACGTCACTTGCATTGTCTTTTGTTGTGTGTTTAGTGTTTGCAATTTGTCAGGCGGACAAGTGTGAAAAAAGCATAGCATAAGGCAGCGTGTTAATCATGTAAAAAGCAATTAAAAGCAAGCCCAACACGAGCGCCCACATGCAGCCCGGCCGCACCCCAGTCTGATGGCAGCTCTTCGACTGTTATTGCATCATTCTGCATGTGAAATCAATTGAGGCCAAAAATCGGACAACAAATGTATACGGAACAATGATAAAAACTTTACAACAGCAACAACAACAGCAGCAATATTTATAATAATAATTTCATTGAATAAATTCAATATTGATTGATGAATGCGTTCAACATTTGTGACATTTATTCATGTTTTTCATGTCTGCATTCATGCGTTAAGTTCCATAAATTAATTGCCATAAAAATGACAACGACATTTGTTTATCTTCTCTGTAAACAAAAACAAAGGAAGCGGCCACGGCCTAAAATACACAGAAACTAACAGTTTATTTATGGGCCAGGAGCCAGGAATACAGCTTGGCTGAGCATATACACTGGCAGAAACACTTCAAAATTTATTAATTACATATGGAAATGTATTACAAATTTTAATTGGAATGAAATTTCTTTTAAATTAAGTTAGAGATAACTTGAATTGAAGTTAAATTTCTTTATAGAAAACTAATAAAATGATCCGAATAAGAAGTTGTAAACTTCTACACAGCACATTCTTTGATCTAGTTTAAGCAAACCTTGTTTCGAGTGTTTTGTACCTAATTAAAAGAACTATAAAACTTTCTAACTAAAACTCAGTTCTAAAGTCTGAAATGGTTCATACTTAAACTAAGAATATTAAAAATCAATATTCTTTATGAACAAGACTTTCGCACAGCACTTGTTTTCGATGTGAAAACTTTTGTTTTAGGTATGTTGCTTTCAATTCGAGTCACTTTTTTATATTTTAGCATTGCCTATTTATACTAAAATCAATAATGGTTGAGCTCACCTAGAGAATATATAAGAACTCAAAGATAAGCATATTAAATTTGCTGTGTAATCATATTTTGTATTCTTTTATATTGTAAACCTTAAATATCTGCGGTTCTTTTCAATATTCCATATAAGTAATTTTTATTTCTAGCATTTTATTTGAAATAATTTGTTGCTTCTTTTATTAGGCAACGTGTTTTTGTGTGAAACTGACTGCTTTATAATGTTTTATAATTTAAATATTATCTATTCTCGAGAGTTTGACAAACTACAGTTTGTTAAATATTATCTATTCTCGAGAGTTTGACAAACTACAGTTTGTAGATTAAGTTCTCCAGAAATGTCAATTTGCATGTCTCATTTTCTTTAACAATCTATTAATAGATGTAGCTTTTTTCATATTTGATTTGTTTGTCTAGGCTTTTCGCGTCCTAACTTTGGTTCGTATCTTCAGTGGTTCACGATTTGGCGCATAGATTTATTTGTTTGGGCCTTTTGCCTTGAATTGCTTTTGCGCCTTTTTACTCTCCTCGCAATTGCTGTCTATTCGCTTTTAATTGTCTTTGTATTGTGGAATTTTTATTGTTGTTTTTGATGGTTGTTGTTGTTGTTGTTCTTTGTTGCATTCCTTTCGCTTTGCTTTGATTTTCATTGGTTTTCGTGGCGCGTAAATAAATTTCGTATCATGACATTTATTACTGACCCTTAAGCTTGGCAGCCCACAACAAGGTCCACACCAATACATTCCCAAGTGTGTGTTTATGTGTGTGTGTGTGTGTGTGTGTGTGTGTGGCCAAGCAGATTATACCGCACATACCCCACAGGATCTGGCAGGATCTGCATGCGGCTGCGTCGTTTGGTTACAATTTTCATTTCAGATTTGCTTTGCCCGCTTTGTTTTTTCTTCTCTTTGTTTCTTTGGCCTCGCATTTTGATTTATTTTAGCACTCAATGGGGGTTGGGCTGCCTGCTTGGGGGCGTGGCAGACAGTGGAGAAAAAAACTATATGAACAATAAGCAGGAGGAGGCACGCGAATGTGGGCGAATGAATATGAATGTGAATGAATGCAAAGATGAAGATTAAATGTAAGTGGACGACACAGAAAACAATTGTAGTTAATTTACGCATAAGAAATTAATGAAAACGAAAAGAAACAAAGAAAGGAAAAATTATATTAAGAAAAAAACAAAATAAAAAAAATTGCTAAAGAATTGTAAAACATGTTTTTTTGCCCGGGCCGCAGGCCTCGGCGCGTATCTTTTAAAGTTAACTTAACTGTGAAATAAGCTGTGCAAACAGCAAACGCATTGTCTTTGTCCCGTCTGCATAATTTATTTATGTTTTCATCTTCAGATACAAGCACCCCCCCCAAACCCTCTGGCACACTCCTCTCTAGCCATACAGCGGCAGTTAATAGCGAAGAAAATGCCAGCAATTCCGCCTGAGCAAATAATTACAGGGCTTAATAACAAATTTAATATTGTTCGGGCCAAGGACGCGACGATAGGCCTCTGTGTTTTATTTATACATTTACATCTTTTTTTTTTTGGTATTTATTTTTTTCAACCCCTTTAGTGAAGGCTGCCCCCTCTTAACTGTTGATTTTCTGCTCATACGTTTTATGCTTTTTAATGAGTCTGTTGGCCGACCGGCCGCTCCTCCACCCACTCGTCCTGTTTGCGCTTCAATAACAATGAGCATGTTCTGGCCCTGCTTCATCTTTATGCCTTATGCACTGACCCTTTCATTTGTTGTTCATCGCCACACACGCTTACTAACACCCTTTGACCTGCCTTGTTTGCAGCTTTAAGTTGTCTGAAGAGCTGTTGGCCTTGCAATTAGTTGTTGCTCTCTACAAAAATTTCCATTTCCATCTCATGTATCCTTTGTCAGTTGTCTTCTATCTGGCTGCAGTTGCCGTGTGTGCAAGCCCTTCAGAATTGCTTAACAACTGTTGAAATGTGAGAATTTCAAATGTTGCTCTAGCTAATTGCGTACAAGTTCTCGAGCAAATTCTCTGAAAGTTCTAAAAAGGCCCTCAAGACTTCAACTACTGCAGCTTTTTCTCGAAAGAAGCGAAATAATCAATTCAAAATAAGGGAAATTCGATGGGAAATCTGCAAATGAAATGGAACATTCAAGACCTTGACAACCTTGCAAAATTGACACTACGAAAACTTATTCACAATTAAATAAAAGTAGCTTAAAGACAAGATTTTCACCGAATTCAACAGATAATTGGATGTCAAGGGGATATAGAAGGGAAATTCGATAGATATTTAATACAGTTTTGGCAGAATACAGTATGAGTATTATATTATTTTTGGGAACACTTAATTAATGGATAATCAAAATATGTTGTGTTATGTTGCGAAACAGCAAATATTGTACAAAATATGTGAGGGGCGATTCGAAATGAGATAAACAAAAATAAACAGAACATACGAAATCATCAAATCAACATCAAATGAATTTATATATTCTATTTTAGAAGCTATATGTCAAGTTTGGGAACTCTAGCTCTTATTATTTACCAAAATTTCCCAAAAAACAGAATATCGATATCGATTTTTATCGATATATTGGAAACTGAGTAAGTTATCGATTATCGGAAAACAAGCTCGACCTGCGCAGGCACTAGGAGGACCTACATCTAATCTCAAGTCTCTAGCTCTTATAGTTTCTAAGATACTTGCGTTCATACATACGGACAGATGGAGAGACGGACGGATAGACAGACGGACATGGCTAGATCGAAATTGCTTCCATACATTTGCACACCTGTCACCCACTTTCAATGGGTTCAGGGTATAAATAATTAAATAAGGTAGTTACATTTTCAAATGAAAAATCAATTTGTATGTAAATCAATTGCGACAGGAAATTGTGTGCCAATAAAACTTGGACAATCCGCAAGAAAAACATGTGGATTACTCTTATCATTTGCTGCAAGATGTTATATAGTGAGTGTGTGAAAAAGTTACCAAAATTGGGGCAAGATTTATAATGAAATCCATTTTTAAATAATAACAGGAACCTAGAATTTTCTCTCAGTGTGTGAAAGAATTGCTTATATTAAATTCCAAATTATTCAGTGCAGAATCTTAACTCTTTGTATATGCAGCTAATTGTCACAAAATTAATTGTTTTTGAATTGGCCAAGAAATTTATACACATACATAATCCAAAGATTTAAGAATGGGTGAGTCGACCCGATTTTTTATATGTGCTGACAGGTGTGTTAACGAAAGCTGTTCTTCAGACCCGCCGCTGTTTGTGCCATGCGATCTTGAACAATTTCGCGATCCAAAAAAGAAACTCGCTCAAGCGCCTGCCTGCGAGGAATTGGACAAGCTGAGCGCCCAGGATGAGATCAGTGTGTCGAGTATTATTTCCGCTCTGATAAGACCTATCGAGCCC